TGGTCTCGAGCTCCTGATCTCAAATGATCCACCCGCCTTGACCTCCCAAAATGCTGGGATTACAGGTGCGAGCCACCCTCGCCTAGCCTTAATTGGTAATTTTTGAAAAAAACTAGAGAAGCATCATATCAGAGATGAATCAGCAATTACACTTGTACTCCCAGTGATTTAAGATGCACCATTGTAATCAAGATGATTTGCTTTAATCAAAATATTGTTACAAACAAGATTTCAGGTCATTTAAAAGGTTTCAGCAGAAATCTTCTCATCACATCTGACTTGGAGTATTTTACTTGCCTCCTTGATAGCTTTTTAGTATTAAACACCAGGACTCTAAACGTGCTTCAATAATTCAAATAATTTTATATAGTTACTCTTTCTAGTGAGATACCCACCTCTATTTTTTAAGTAAAGATAAACATTTTTTAATTAGGAAAATTAAGCGATTCTCCTGCTTCAGCCTCCTGAGTAGCTGGCACTACAGGCGCGCGCCCCTACGCCCAGCTAACTTTTGTATTTTTAGTAGAGACGGCATTTCACCATGCTGTTCTCGATCTCTTGACCTCATGATCCGCCCGCTTTGGCCTCCCAAAGTTCTGGGATTACAGGTGTGAGCCACCGCGCCAGGCTCCAACAGTAAACTTTGAAACATTAGGGCCCAGCCTACCAAACATGGTGAAAACCCATCTCTACTAAAAATACAAAAACTAGCTGGATGTGGTGGTGCACTCCTGTAATCCAAGCTACTGCGGAGGCTGCGGTAGGAAGATCATTTGAACCCGGGAGGCGGAGGCTGCAGTGAGCCGAAATTGCGCCACTGTACTCCAGCCTGGGCCATAGAGTAAGATCCTGTCTCCAGAAAAACTGTTAGGCCCTTTCGTACTCAAATATGTGTTTATCTACTCTCAGGTTGCTGTCCTCCCACATCCCCATCTCCACCCCCATCCCTCCACCCCTATCTTTTAGTAGATTCTTCAAACGCTTGCTGAATTTAGTATCTACCTTTGTTGTAGTTCTCTCACTTGTAGTGCTGGGCTGCTTTAGGGCCCACCTCCTCAAAGATGCTTTTTGTTTTTTGAGATGATGTCTCGCTCTGTCGCCCAGGCTGGAGTGCAGTGGTGAGATCTCAGCTCACTGCAACCTCCGCCTCCTAGGTTCAAGTGATTCTCCTGCCTCAGCCTCATGAGTAGCTGGGATTACAGGTGCCTGACACCACGCCTGGCTATTTTTTTGTATTTTTAGTAGAGACGGGGTTACACCGTGTTGGCCAGGCTGATCTCGATCTCTTGATCTCGTGATCCGCGGGCCTCAGCCTCCCAAAGTGTTGGGATTACAGGCGTAAGCCACCGCGCCCGCCCTCAAAGATGATTTCTCTGATCACTGAAGCGCACCACAGTCTCTCCAGAAATGAGAATTACTATAGTATATGTTTATATTCTTCACATCCATTATTACCCATCCACCCACCCCAGTAGACTATAAACTCAGAAAGAGCATGGGCTTTAAAATTAGACAGATCGAAGCTCAAATTCCACTTCTACCACTCAGTATCAGTGTAACTTTGGTCCAATAACTCTGGGCTTGTTCCTCCAACTCACTGGGGGTGTTTAACAGATGAAATGGGGTATTTTTCATAAAACACCTAGTACTGCAACTTGCATATAGCACGCAGTGGCAGACATATAGCAGACCTTAAGGAAAAAGGTCCCACTGTACCTAAAAAGCAGGTGACCAGGAGGGAGACATTCAGTAACTGTCAGTTTACTTCTTACAACACGTTCTGACCTAAGGGCAAAAGAAGCACTTTTTCAACCAATTCAAGCTCGCCAACGATCCCCGATATGGGGAGTGTAGGTGTTTCAAGTTGAACAAAAAAGACTCCTTGTCAAACCTGAAGACGTCGGGTCACATTGCTTGACTGCATACCAGATTCCAAAGTCTGCAAACTTTGTAGAGTGACTTGTCACCAGGAACTTCAGGGACAGGACCTGACTGCTAGATGAAGCTCTGTCCTTGTCCAGATCCTCACCAATCTCTCCCGACCCAGAAAGGACTGGCCTACAGCCACATCTTCCGCCCCTGCCTCTCACCCAGCCCCCTTGTCCCTCAGCCAGTCGGGCCCGCGCCCTAGGGGTGTCCCAGAGGAGGAATGCGCCCTACTTCCCACTCCCAGAGCCGGGGGAGACTCACTGCCGAAGTCTTTGGCCTGGTGGAGGAGCTCGTGGTCTCCCGCTGGCTGCAGCTCCTCCTCCGCGGACTCCGCCACCGTCTCGGATGGCTGCTCGGGTGGAGTGGAGCCCTCAGGCTGCCCTTCTCCCTTGGGCTGCCCACCGCCCGCCGCCGGCTGCTGCAAGCCCAACCAACTGCTCAAGCCCCGGAACATCCCGCCCGCGGGGCCGCCGCCGCAGTCCCGATCCCCAGAGACCCCAGTGAGCACTGGCGACCACTAGATCCACTCTGCGCGACTCTCCGGGAGATAGCCGGAAGTCGGAGGGACAGCGGAGCCTTCCGCAGCCCCGCCCCTAGACGACTTCGCAGTCGCGTAGCGTCACTTCCGTCTAAACGCTCCGCCCCCTGGTGACGTCAATTGTGACAGCTGTTTTGTGTGCGTGGCGAGGGGACAAAGGGTTTTCCCAGCGTAGCCCCGCCTGGCTTCTTTTCCTCTTGCGCCAGCTTTGTAGGTAATTGACCAAGGCGTGTGGACAGTGTCTTTGTCACAGTCCTAGCCAGTCTCATTTTAAAATTGCCTCTAAGCAGCTTGGCTGGTGACTTAGCCTCGTCTTTTCAGGTCCCGCAGGGCTGGGTTCCCGCGTAATTGGATGTCTTTAGCCTCCTCCTGAGCCAAAGTCAAAACTAACCCAAAGCCGCCAAGGCCAACTGACAGGGAATACAGAGGACAAAATAAGGTGTTAAATAACACAATGGGATGCTGTCTGCAGCATCTAGACTATGAGAAGCCACATGACACACAACCTTGTTTCTTCAAATAAATTGCAAGGAAGAGGGGGGTGTGGTGGGGAACCTATAGATTAAAAGAGATTTAAGACATGGACCCCATGGCTACTTACATGCATTTTATTAGGACCCTAATTCAGCAAACACATTGAAAAAAATAGTATGACATTTATTGTAACAACTGGAAATTTGGACACTGGGTAGTTGATAAAATTGAGGAATTGTGAAATTACAAAATTTTAATTGTAGTAAAATACACAAAAATTACCATCTTAATATAAGATTTACCATCTTAAGGCCGGGCGCGGTGGCTCAAGCCTGTAATCCCAGCACTTTGGGAGGCCGGGGTGGTGGATCACAAGGTCAAGAGATCAAGACCATCCTGGTCAACATGGTGAAACCCCGTCTCTACTAAAACTACAAAAAATTAGCTGGGCATGGTG